CCTGCAAAAGCTGAATACTGGCATTTGAAATGCCTGTTGACACTGAATAAGGATATACATTTGTTTTTGGAATGACAAGTCTCACGCAAGTGTGTTTTTGTGTGCAGATTTTAAAGACGTCGACTGAGGCTCTGGTAGACGTCAACATCAGCAAGAACTTGATTGGATCTGCTATGGCTGGAAGCATCGGAGGTTATAACGCTCATGCTGCCAACATCGTAGCTGCCATCTATATTGCTTGTGGACAGGTAATAAAAGATGTATTGTTTACAGTATGATTTTGATAAGGATTATGATATGTGATTATATAGTGGTGGTACAGATGTTTACAAGTGAATTCAGCTAAATGAATTTGTCCTTGACAGGACCCAGCGCAGACAGTGGGCAGCTCTAATTGTATCACTATTATGGAAGCCTCAGGCCCCACCGGGGAGGATCTTTATATCAGTTGTACTATGCCCTCCATTGAGCTGGGCACTGTGGGCGGAGGCACTAACCTTCCTCCCCAGCAGGCCTGTTTACAGGTACTTGATACAGGATTATTATTTTACATATATGAATGACAAAATAATGTTTTCATTTCATTGTGGATGTACAGTTGATAAATCCACTGTCATAGCCGGTTTCATGCAGTTTATTCTCTCTCTGTCCTCCTGTCAGATGTTAGGTGTGCTGGGTGCCAGTCAGGAGTGCCCGGGTGAAAATGCCCGACAGCTTGCCAAGGTCGTGTGTGCTACCGTGCTTGCAGGAGAGCTGTCACTCATGGCTGCACTCACTGCTGGACACCTGGTCAAAAGTCACATGACTCACAACAGGTGAGAACTATTTATTATATATTACGGTAATACAACATTCTAATTTATATATATATATATAATCAGAATCTAAGAAAATAATCTTACAAATTAAAATATAGTATAAAATTATAGACTGACAATGTTTTGTAAGAAACTATCATCTGCAAACACCTGTATAATTGTTTTTTTTTATATTTTGGCTATAGATCAAAAGTGAATTTGCAAGAAGCTCCAGGAATATGTACTAAGCTGGCATCTTGAGACTTAACCTGCTGAAGATGCAAAAGGGCCATAAAGAAAGAGGATCTCACGTTTAAGGCACAATGATTAGTAATTGAGATTATTTTAAAGGCCAGCAAAAGGAATACAGTTCATGGATCCCCTGATCTGTTAAACATGAGTTAAACAGATAAAAGTAAAATGGTTGAAATTAAAGACTGGAATCAAGACCAGCTGTGTTTAGAAGCCTAGAGCCAGTATTTCTAAATAATATCTGGGCAGAAATCGCTGTTTCCAGATCTGCTTTGTTAAGCTTAACTTGCTATGGATAGCAAATCTGCTCTTATATCCACAGCAGCCAGTACATAGAGATACAGAAAGCCACATAGTTTAACTTATTTCCTAAAATCAATGCAGTTCAGGTCACTTACAGGACCGACTGGATGGGTTAAAGCAGAGTACATTTTTTTACTTCATTATTTGTTGGTGATAGCAACAGGGAGCTAACAGTCTGTTTGCCAAATTTTGCCAAACTGAAAACAACACCATTAGACACAAAGGGAAGGAGAAAGTTTGATCTTCATTGCACTTACAAAGGAAATGCCATAGGGCAGTACCGATAAAGAGAGGAGTTTAATGTACTATGATTCACTAGTTGGTACACATGTAGAATAATACAGAACAACTACGAAATTGCCAAATGCAGCCGTCAGCAGTGCTCGTGATGTTTTCTGTGTCAGAATGTATAGTTTTTTTGTCTGTGACACAGGAATGAATTGAATGACTTATGTAAAAGGGTTGTGCTATGGCATGATGTCACAAATATTTCAAAAGGTGCTACAATCCACGTTTCAGTTCTTTGTTCATTTAGCTATTTCTTTGTGTTTGAACACCTCTAAAATGGGTTTATGTAACAATACGCAACTTAACGCATTGCATGTTTCCAAAGGCTTGAAATGGCTTTTATACAATTGGTTCTGGTTTTCATGTCATGGAAATGTGTGGCTGTTTAGACATGTATGTTTCATGCTGAAGACATTGAAAGGAAGCTTGCTATTTTTTTCCCCCAAAGGCACAACTCAAATTATTCAATAAACAATAAACTGCAAAGTTTTGTATATTTTTATAATAAAAGAAAATACAAAATTAATCGACCTGTGCTTGATCATATTCTGCTTCTTACTTGGGCAACTTTGAATAATAAAAATAAGACGATACAAAACAAACTCAAGAAAATATTAAAGTTTTAAAGGGGTCATATGATGCTGCTAAAAAGAACATTATTTTGTGTATTTGGTGTAATGAAATGTGTTTATGCAGTTTAAAGTTGCACCGATCCGATATTCATATCGGGTATCGGCTCCGATAGTGCCATTTTTCTCGGATCGGGTATCTGTCAGAGAGGGCCGATCCAAATCCGAGAATTTTTATTATTTTTTCTCGATTGTGCGAATTATTCTGTGTTACTTCTGAAGCCGTATGATAGCTTAATGTGAGCTACATATGAATATTTAATCCTTACATTAAAGTTCACACAAACTCTTTTCTCCGCTGTGGCTGTCAGTCATTCGTTCAGCCTTTAAACCCTGGTCGCATTCGGTTACAGCAGTCAGTTCGGTAAAGCTCTCTCCAAGATCATTCTGTGTTCCCATTATACTTGATTTGTAAATACATGTCTATGATTTT